ATGACCAGAATTGTGGCGAGTGCTTCAGATGGATTTGCAGTCCTTTGTGCAAATTATCCAGCGATAGCTGATGGCGGTATGATCTATTTGAGTCTAAGGTTGATCTGACGATGGGGATCGTCAGGTGGCATGTTGCGTTATGGTCCACGCGAAGTTACAGGAAACGATCGCCTTTTTCTGTTCTCCTAATACCAAGACTATGCATGCTCATGAATGAGATTTGGTTGGTGCTCATCCACAAACTCAAATCCTAAAACGTGCATGATTCTAGTGAACAATCAATCACTAAATGTATCAGGAAGCTTATCCACTGCCAGGAATCAATACCACGATCAATACAACACCATTCAGCACGTTTGATTAACAAAGTGCACTTCACCAGATGTTCAAGGGCAAGGAAGAGAAAGTGCATATCGTTTTTGAGACGTGAAAACACGTATCTATATTTATACCGATTCTGAAGAATCATTTTTCCTGTGATCAATGAGGCCATGAGTCGAAAGTTCCTCTGAGGATAATAATCGAAAAAGGCAATTTGAAAATAGCTTTGCTTGCGTTGAACGCTAGGCGCAGAAATAGGATGTAAACGAGGGCTGGTGCATCGATATTGTCTTGCTGAAAATTAAAAGTCAGTCTACTCCACTGCTTCGATGTGATGCAAAGATTCATTGAACCCGGATACCGAAAGACTAACTAGGAAAACAGGCGGATCTAGTTTCAAACCAAGTGGAGATGAATGTATCTGCTTTGGTAGTATATTTATTTCCGGGGTGTCCAAATGAATTATCATTCTTCGGGCATCCGATACCGAATTTTTCCGCTCTCTAAAAGTAGATCTATCTAACAACTGGCCAGCATACGATTAAAATCCCATGGCTGAAGAGTAAGAAAACGGGTCTACAGAATATCCAGACATATCAATGATCAAGGTAGCGTGAACGTTAATCGGTTCATTGTTCTGGGAAAAAATTAGCTCAATCACATCAGCCGTCGTCAAGGAGGAGCAATGCATGAACGCAGCCTGAAATCTGAAAGCGGAAAATTATCCGTACACGATATGCACTGACAAAAATGGCTCTGAAAGAACTGTCTATCTAATCGTCACCCGATGTTGCAAACAAGGTTATTGTGACGAAAATACACTTCCTGGATACAAGCATATGAATGAACTGACAAAAGATTACCGGATACGCATGCCTGACGAGCGGCGAAACCGGTCGTGTGCTTCCAGGGAAATTTTGTCAAATTATTCATATACTACTTATTATGATATATATATATATATGTTTAATCAACGGCTCGCGAACAGGCAATGGGTAAACGAAAAAAACAATAACAAAATTTTGGGGATTCGGGAGTGGGGTAGAAAGAAACTCAAGTCCTTCGACGTTATTGGATAGTTATAATTGGGCTCATTATCACACAAATTTCACATTGAAGATAGAATCTGCTCAAGAAATATCCCTTTTTGAGATTTATTTGTCACGTCGCAAAGACAAAATGCATATATATATATATATATATATATAAAGGACAATACGTCGACCACCAAAGTTTTTTCCAGATGCAATACAAACGAAGCTTGATCCGATGCCCTATCAATCATATGGGAAGACTTTGTTCTACTGACACACTGAATAATGCATTGGCAATAGTCATCGTTCTTAAACAATGCATACTCAGGGAAACTTGTCGATCGTTGCGTGGAAGTCTACATTGTCAAACTAAAGCACCGGACCGTGGAAGAGCAAAAGGCTTACATTTCATTACCTTTCAAAAGTGACACTCTATTAAGAAAACTGAGCAAACGAGTGTAGTGGAAAATACTTATTTCTCAACGGAATTGTGCATTCTCTCATTGCAGATGAAGGACAGATTAAAAGTAGGGACTACTTCCTTTTGTCTACCATTTTACTTGATCCTGTGGCGCACGTTACGTGGGTCACACCACCAGACGTCTGACAGATCTAATGAGAGAGCAACGCCCAGTTTGGCTCAGTCGAGGACGAATAGGGGTAGATGCGAACGCGGTTGCTATACATTTGGCCAGTACGAATCACACCGTAGATGTGCGGGGATCCTTCGATTCAATCTATTCAATGACGCGGTTCCGATCTAATGATGATAAAGCTCGATTGTTGTACATACCACAGTCGATGGCAATTAAAATAAACAACCCCCTACTATGTGAACATGAACAGTTCCTCAAAAACCCTTACCCATTCGTGGCCATGTGTACGAAGTGCTCCTACTAACACTCCGGTTAAAAATTCACTCCACAAAGGATTATCATTAACTATGCGGTCAGTGTTTGAACATCCATCCCCTCTGTGTTGGAAAGTCTTGTTTGAATTGATCGT